TCTAGAGAGCTTGGCAATATTGTATATTTCCACATTTATGTTTATGTGGGTTTAAAGTAATGAATGTTTGGCTGATGTTTCGTTTTAGGAGATTATTGAGAGGTCAAAACTCCGAGGAATACCAATCATCATTGATGCTGTGAGTACTGTTTTCACTGACACTTTTGATGTAGCTGATCAATATGTTTTTATACTGGGCATGTTGGCAACAGCCAATAGATTCAGTGTCCCGAATACAGAAGGAGAACTGGGTCAGAGCTCAAACATGGGGTTTTAATTTGACAGTATTAATGTTGTATTGTGTATTGCCTAAAATATGATCAAAATTATCTAAAACGAACGCTGCTAATCCAGAGAAAAAGGGCATCAGTGGTTTGCTGAATTAGCAGAGAGGACAATTATTTTGTGGATGCACTGAATAAATTAGTCACTTGTGTAAAAAAGGTTTATATGTGCATTGCACATTCATGTTTGTGTTTCTTTACAGGATGGACTTTGGTTAGTGGCAAAAGAACCGTCAGTCATTCAAGGATATCAGAGAGGCATCCTCACACCCAACTTTATGGAGTTTACTCGTCTGTATGAGGCCATGGTGAGTTTTGAAAGTGCTAATATCCTCCTTGTGGCTGAGCAGATTCTGTTTTTATGTAATATTTGTGGCTCCAAGACATCTAGTATTGACATTCTTCTCAGGTTATCTGATGGATGCCATTGTACCTGTATTCACCACTGACCACATTACCATCAGATCTTCTGGCACAGATGTTATTACCACACATAAAGGAAACATTGTTTTAAAGTGTCAGTTATTGCATTATTATTTCATTCAAACCTATAAAACCCCTTTGTTACCCCAAACTAGATTTACAAGCTTTATCAGTGGCATAAAAGTAACCAATGCAGCTGCTTAATCATTTGCTACTCGTTAACGTCCCCTTTAAATAACGCGACGCTCTGTCCTCTATGACGCTGCTCCCATTAAGCGCTGTTGGAAGTGAATGAATTGATTCAGCATTTCGACACCTCCGTAAGGATGCATTTAACTCGACAAAGCGGTCTAATAAAGGATGTATTGATCTCGTGAATTAGCGAATTTTACTATACAAATATTTTTAATTGGATGTTAAAGTTTATATGGGAATATTACCGTACATGACACGCTGATCCTTTAACAATGCATTGGCACAAAAAAATGCACACCTTTTGGACAAATCTGTCACAAATATTTGGACAAATGTGCCACAAAAGTACCACAAATGCTGCCTAAATAAAATACTGATGTTGTGCACTTTATTTACTGTACCAATATTTTAAATTGGCCTTTGAACTTAGCTTTATTGCATGGCAAAAAAAAGTGTTCCCTTGCCAAAGCACTGACAGAGCCCACTGATCTAACGTCGTTGTTGAGTGAAAATGAAAACTTTGCATGCAACAATCAGGCAGCAATTGACAGCAATCTGATCCAGTGGCATACAGGCATCGTCAGATTGACAGTACTCTAGCCCAATAATGTTGGGGGATCCAGTGGGGGCGGCCCTCATATTTCAGGGTGACCCTGCCACTCTTTATCACAACCCTGCTAAAAGTGCCAGTACGTGTGCTCATTGGCGCCCCTTCAGCTGGTGGCGCCCTAGGCGACCGCCTAGCTCGCCTATGCCTAGAAACGGCCCTGGTTGAACCACTGTCCACTAGTACAGTGGCTTTCAAAGCCTGGGTTGCAACCCTCTGGTGGGTCTGTGGAGACTGTTTTGCAGCGTTGAACATCGTAGTCAATCACAGACAGATCTGTTGATTTCTGGACAGCAAAACGGTCAATCAGAGGTGTTTCAGACAGTCAGAATCCACTCACTGCTCAAAATGCCAGAGTTTTGGTCAGTCCTGAGTTCTGCATGCTCACGAATCCTCTCATTATAATGAACAAAAGTGTAGATGCGATGTAAATAGAAATACGAGATTTATTGTGCAGTGTAGAGAGATTAATTGATTTTAAGGGAATTTTCTGAGATCGCGATAAACTGAAATGAGTGACGGCTTTTCAGTGATGATAAAGGGAGTGCACTTTGTACGCTTTCTTGGCTATTTATAATCCATTCAGAATGTTAATGAAACTTTTGTTTGTCATGCTGCTAAGAGGACCAACGTGGCATAAATGCTGCAGAGTTTCATGAGTGACATTCTCATATAAATGGGGGATTCCTTGTCAAAACTGCAGAATATATCTATATCTAGCTATATGCACGACTTCATGCATTTAAACGGTTGCATAGGGTCGCGTCAATTTAAAAAGAAAAAATAGGGTTGCTCTTTAAAAAGTTTGAATACCACTGCACTAAAACCACTAGAAAATTCCTTGTTTTGCCATTTTAAAATGATAGATAGATAGATTGAAATAAAACACATTTACGGACACATAAGACATGCAACTGCAGTATACATGCTAAATCAAACTTTGATTTCAGCATCATGAACCTCTGGACAGCACTGACCACAAGAGAAGTGCTCAGCAGCTCAGCATCGCCATGGGCCACCTTACCTTGGTTTTGAAGGGAGAGGAGGACATTATTACTGATGGAAAGAACAGTTAGTGATTTTCTTGAAATATTCAGACTTCATATGGTTCCAGTGCACCGTTTTCTTTCTCTAACATTGCTTTTCTACCTGCTCTCAGTGCTGACCTGTAATCAAGAGGGCAGTGGGCGGCGTTGTGGAGGACAGGGAGATCTGCTGTCCGGTTCCTTAGGAGTCTTTGCCCACTGGGCGTTCAGCTCACCTCCAGATGCAGCTAAAGGGTGAGTTGCTCCATCTTCAGTAATTATCTGATGTGTCATTGCATATCACTTTCAGTTCAATTGTAAATGTACCTTTTTTTTCCCCAGCATGAATCCCTCGCTGGTGGCTGCATTCGGTGCTACGTCTCTGACAAGGCAATGTAATCGCCAGGCCTTCCACAAACACAGCAGATCTACCACCACCTCTGACATGATCCAGGAGATAAGCAGCGCTTTCAAGAAGTTGTTTGAAAGCTAAACCTACGTGCGTGTATCCATTTCTCTTTTCATGGACATTATAAAGACTAAAGGTCTGCATCTCAGTGCTACTCATATTAAATAAAAGTGAAGTACATTGTCGAGCATCTTTTTTCTTTTCCATTTTATTTTAAAGTGCCTCTTGTAGTTCTGCGATACAGTTTCAACTACTTCTCCAGTTTCATGTCTGTGTGGTCGCCCTCTATAAACATCATACACATTTTATATATAGATGTGTGTTATGTTTGCGAGTGTTTAGATTTGTATATGATAACCCACCAGGAGATACAGTTTTAACACTGTCCCTTTATGAATGAGTTGCTACTCCCAGCTGCAATTTATTTATTGGTCTGCTTGAAAATGTTCACTTTCAAGTATTGAGACAAATGCTCTACCTTTATAGTGGATGTTCTCCTTACATTAAGCTGTTTAACACCTTATTTTCTGTCAATAACTCACACTCCCTATTTAGTATGTGGGACAAATCGCAAATAATTGAAAGTGGCTGTCACTTTTAGATATAGTTTGCTATTCTACGTATTAAACTAACATGAAAGTTTTACTTATAACAGTTTCTGTTTTGTATTATTCATTCTGTGTAAATGCATGAATGTGTCTGGACTTCATTTTGGTTGGTAAGATAGTAAGAGGTTGTCATAGAGATTGAGAGTTTTGGTTACACTTTATTTTAAGGTGTCCTTGTTACAGTGCAATTATACATGTAAGTACCGAGTAATATTAATTAACTGCATGTACTTACTATATGGTTAGGATTAGGGTTACTTGCATGTAAGTATTCATAATTGTTATTATTAATAGTATTATAATTATTTTCTTTTTTAAATCAAATAGAGAAGAAATATGCAAAAGCTGCTCAGTTTTAAAAGAATCGTTAGTACTCATCCTCATAGTATTTATATATTTGAAAAAGCATGGAGTAGGAAGCTTTTTATTTGTTAAATTCATACCTCGTTTGCAATGCACAATGCATGCAAATACCTTTTCATAATGCAAATTAGTCACAATCTGCAACGACAACTTAGTATGACAACACCTGAAAACACCTTCAATTTATGAATTATTCTTATTACAGTAACGTCCTCTGTACGCGCGCTTTCTTATAGGAGATCCTTTGTGGTATTATTGTGATAGCTAACCCCATTTTACACCAAAATAGGACAGCATCGTGACCTTGTGAATAAAAAAGGTCATGTTGTATAGAATCAGATATCCACCTTCTTTATTTATTGTAAATGTTATGTGTCTGACTTCCGGTGTCATTTGCTTCCAGCTGTTCAAAACAGCTCGTTTTGCTGCTTGATATTGCATATTGTGTTTCCTACCATATTATTTTAATGTATTGTCTTAATTGTGATCACACTGGTGTGAAGTGCAAACAGTTTTACGGTTTACTGCACTTTGTTATTCTTCTCGTTATTTCCCTACAGCGGCTAATGAACCGGAAGTCTTGCACATTCATTGAAAACGGCCTACATCCGCGTTGAAAAATAAGAGACATATTCAAGATATGTCTACTGTTTCCTTTGACGCTCTTGTTGTGTACGTGCTCTTGTCTTCACCGCGCCACGGTCTCCGTTTCGGGTTTTGTGCTGCGTTTATGTTATAGTGAGAGTGCGCGAGCTTCAGTCCTTTGAGTTTCAGTTTTGAGAGATCCGTTTCTGGTTTTGATGGTCATTATATTGCACTGAGCATGCGCAGGCTAAATCCGGGTCTAAAATGATCCGTTTCGGGTTTTGTGCTGCGTTTATGTTATAGTGAGAGTGCGCGAGCTTCAGTCCTTTGAGTTTCAGTTTTGAGAGATCCGTTTCTGGTTTTGATGGTCATTATATTGCACTGAGCATGCGCAGGCTAAATCCGGGTCTAAAATGATCCGTTTCGGGTTTTGTGGCACGGTCACATTGTAAGTGCGCATGCGTAGCTCCATGATCCGTTTCGGGTTTTGGAGATTCTTGTGCGAAGTTTCGGTCCTTCAGCGCGCGCGTCTCGTCTCGCCTCCCCTTTGCAAGCGCGTTGTTTGGGCGGTGCACTTAATAAAAGCAGACATCGTGAAGTCCACCATTTTTTTCTGACGATTCCCGTTTCCACGTATTTATAAAAGCGAGCGTCTTTGCTGTGCACTGATGTCGGTGGGACTGGAGTCTGGGTTTTCTAGCGAGGAGGTGCTGAATAGTCGCTTCCCTCTTCATCGCGCGTGCAGAGATGGAGATGTGGGCGCCCTGTGCTCGCTGCTCCAGTGCAGCACAGATCAGCTGGCTGTGGAGGACTCTTTCTACGGGTGGACTCCTCTGCACTGGGCTGCACACTTCGGCAAGGTGCACAGTCGAACTCATTTATTAAGCAGCATGTGTAATTAATTGTTATCTAGCTATAGTGTGCACGAAAAAAATCATACTCGATTAAACCATTATTTGTTACTCTCCTTAATAAAATGCAATGCATTGCACCTTTCATTTATTCATGCATTTTCAAAGATTTTCAATGCATTTTCACATTTTCAAAGTGACACTCACTGATGCGGTAGTTGAACGTTGCGCATATCAGTGGACGAACTGCAGACGGGTTTGGCTTGATCTCTCTTTTTAATCTGCTTTTCCATCTTTTAGTTTAATATTATTATTTAAAAAACAAAAAGCTTGTCTTGTGATTATAAAGCCGTGTTGATTGTAAAAGAGCAAAACGGAGACGAAGACAAACTGACCCGTTTTCATTTTAGTACTTTGGGGCGGAAATATTTATAGGAAAGAAATTCAGTAGTTAATGATGAGAACTGATCAGGTCGTTTTAAATTTCAACAGATAAGGCGTCAGGAATTAATGTGTTTATACACTTTTTAGTTAGCAACTTTCAGTGATTCAAAATTACAAGTAACGGGAGTTACGTAATCAGATTACTTTTTTCAAGTAACGAGTAAAGTAACGCATTACTTTTTAATTTAAAAGAGAATATCGGAGTTACTTTTTAAAATAAGTAACGCAAGTTCCTTTTTTTTCCAATTTATTGACTGACAGCTCTCCTGTCCCCATGTTGAGAGAAATCAGAAGATGTTACTGTAGTTCTAAAATAAATATTAATATGCATTAATTCATCACACTCACAAAAAACACAGATTCAGTATTCCTCAAAATGAATAAAAATAATGCAACTCATAATATGCAATAATTAAATGTTAAACAACACAAATATCCTTGTATGTATTTAATCCCATTCTATTTGCTTCTGACCTTCGATGATCCAGTTCAACCGTACTAATAAGCACAAATTACTCTAGACAAACACTTGTGTGTGTTTTTTTTTATTGCTGAATTGTGTTGAAATCTCTTCTGCATTCTACTGTACGGACGTAAATTTACTTTCCCTTCAGCCTGAGGCGTATTCATTTCACTTTTGGTGTGAAAAGGCTTTTATATTTGCCAAAAATAGAACTTTTTTTATTTTAAAAACAAATTGTAATGCATTACACTGGTGATCGCATATTCCATTCAATAATATATCAAATACAATGCTAAACGAACAAAAATATGACATTGCATTTATTCATTTGGTTTAACGTTGTTTATCTAATTATGCTTCTAAGACCGGTTTTAGAAGCGTAATTAGAAAAAACACAGTAGCAGTTCTTGGTTCATTTCAGGTTGGACCCGATGAAGTACGTTTCAACTGCTTTCACTCATTCAATGAGTGTTTTTGATTCACTAAAAGAACTGACTCACACGTCTGGTCGTATTTTGTCCGAGTATTTTTTTCACAAGTGTCGTTTTGCATTGACACCTGTGGGTGTAGTCTTTCCTCGGGTAATGGGGTTGAACTTCAGGTTTCTCTCACTTTCTAAAGAGCTACATTATCTGTTATGTGGCTGATGTGTTTATTCTCAGATATCTTGAAGTTACCTAACCGGATGAAGTATGAGAGTCAGCAGGCTGATATAAACACCAAACCCTAGGTTTATTTTTAGATGTGAATTACTGAAAAGGGAAAGCATTTTCTGCATTGCATTGACTTTTAAAGCTCCACAGGATGCGTGCATTTCAGCCTTTCAAACTTAGAGGGAAATTCCTCTGTGTATGAGCTTGCTCAACAGGGTTTTAGATCAAACTAGATTTTGCCAGTTGAATTATTATGGCAAATCTGATATGACTTATGAAAATAGTCATGAGGAAGCTATACATCTCTGCTCTGGTGCCACTCCCACTTGTTGTGTGTTGTTGGCTTTATCTGGATGGTTGACATGTCAGCATGGGAGTGTCTAGAAATGGTTTACGGCGCTGTTGAGTAGATGAATAACAGGAAGAGTCTGAGTGAAATTTGAGATTTTGCAGGAGTGATCAGCATGGAATGTTGAAACCACAGTAACCGTCTTTCATGTACTAAATGCTTCCAGTATGTATCAAGTGCAATTGTTTTCTTACCCAGTTACATTAGACCAATATTTAGTCCAGTCAGTGTTGGGGAAAGTTACTTTTAAAAGTAATGCATTACAATATTGCGTTACTCCATAAAAAAAGTAACTAATTACGTTACTTAATTACTTTATATGGAAAGTAATGCGTTACGTTACTTTTGCATTACTTTTTAAATCTGGACAGGGCTTGCTTGTTTGTTTTTAAAATAAAAAAGTTATATTTTTGGCAAATATAAAAGCCTTTTCACACCAAAAGTGAAATGAATACGCCTCAGGCTGAAGGGAAAGTAAATTTACGTCCGTACAGTAGAATACAGAAGAAGACATTTCAACACACTTCAGCAATAAAAAAGACTTATTAGTAATTTGTGCTTATTAGTACGGTTGAACTGGATCGTCGAAGGTCAGAAGCAAAGACATTGGTTAATAGAATGGGATTAAATACATAAAGCATATTTGTGTTGTTTAACATTTAATTATTGCAGGTTTGCGTCATATTCTGAGTTGCATTATTTTTATTCCTTTTGAGGAATGCTGAATACTTTTTTTTGTGAGTGAGATGAATGAATGCATATTCATATTTATTTTAGAACTACAGTAACGTCTTCTGATTTCTCTCAACATGGGGACAGGAGAGCTGTCAGTCAATAAATTGGAGAAAAAATAAGTAACTTGCGTTACTTATTTGAAAAAGTAACTCCGATATTCTCTTGTAAATTAAAAAGTAATGCGTTACTTTACTAGTTACTTGAAAAAAGTAATCTGATTACGTAACTTGCGTTACTTGCAATGCGTTACCCCCAACACTGAGTCCAGTTGGATGATTAACAGAAGTGCTGTATAACCCTTTCAACTGAGGATAATGGACCCTTTTACAGATTGTGATGACAGTTATTAATGTAAATCTAGCAAAGATTTTTATATTTTTTGTTTTAAAAATGTAAAATGTATATACATTTCTAAGATTCTGCTACAAAAAAAATAGTGAGTGAGTGTTTCTAACACACTGGCAAATTTGACATCTTTCTTCTGACCAATGTAATCAATAGTGTATTATTATCATTATTATTATTGCTAATGGAGCAAATTGAACTATATATATATATATATATATATATATATCTCTCAGGGGCGTTTCCTCGAGGAGGCAAGGGAGGCAGTGCCTCCACAAAATATTGGATGAGAAAAAAAAAAGTTTGGTGGGGGGGTAACTGAGAATGAAAAAAGTAAACAACTCCTACTTAGATATAACCACTTTGTTACGTCAACATAGGACTTAAAATGGCATGAAAACATGATCTGTGGGTTTTTAGTTAGTAAAAGTAAATCTCTGCGTCTGTGAATATTTAGCCTTTGAGAGTTTGATGACTGATGACCCGAAAAATTAAAAAAATAGTTCAAAGTTAACTATTAAAAAGAATAGTTGAACATAAGTTCACAAATAAAATATATTGTTTAAATTGTTACTGCCTTGAGTTATTATTTTGGAATATATGTAAAATGCTTAAAAACATTAACTTGATGAGATTCATACGTGGCTTTAATAAATAGAATATTGATTACATTGTAAATGTAAAATTATGAAATAGATTTTTTTTTCTTCTTATTCGGATAGTGTAAGTAGTTTGTAATGTTGTAGTTTCTATTCACCACTATAGAAGTTTACCCAAATATTATGACTTCTGCTACTGAGAACCACAGAAATGTGCAAATGGTCCGATCCATATTTACTTTGAAATATATTTAACAAAAAAGAAAAAAAAAATGCATTTGTGTTTTAGTTTAAGTATCTGCAATCCTGCTCTATATATCGACATCAGCATCAGCCATTGAAAGCCCCTCTCAGTTGAGCACTAATTAAAGTGTCCTCTCCTGTCTCCCAGCTGGAGTGTGTCATGCGTCTGGTGCAGGTGGGATGTGGTGTGAACTTTGTGACCTCTCGGTTTGCCCAGACACCAGCTCATATTGCTGCCTTCGGGGGTCATCCTCAGTGCTTGCTCTGGCTGCTGCAGACTGGAGCTGATATAAACAGACAGGTAAGACTTCACTGTGATATGAGATTGTGTATGAGACACACCTTTTTTAAAGGTGAGCATGCAGAACTGCTTTATTTACATGTGAGATTGAACAAACATGAAGTTATGTGAGAAAACAGAGCAAGAAGTGTGAAGATGAGGAACAATTGTTTTAGGGGAGTGATATTAGGCACAGCACAAAGCAGTTGTTTTCATTGCTTAGCAGTGTTACAGCTGGCCACATAATGTGCACCGTTTTACTGCAGCTTTGAATGTGATTCTTCTGATCAGAAATTAGACGTATTATCAATTTTATTAAAGTTATATTGTTTTTTTTCCCCTCAAGTCTTACATAACATAACATTAAGCTGTTAAGCATTTTGCACTGAATAATGAATATAAAAACATAAAATACATAAAAAATAAACGATAAAAAAGTTGCCATGCCATATTAGGTTAAAAACTGTAAATATTCTAACATTGCATAATATGTTATTTAATCGTAAAATACTGTCCAATTTAATGTCAAATATTTAAAGGATTAGTTCACTTCCAGAATAAAAATTTCATGATAATTTACTCACCCCCATGTCATCAAAGATGTTCATGTCTTTCTTTCTTCAGTCGCAAAGAAATGAAGGTTTTTGAGGAAAACATTCCAGGATTTTTCTCCATATAATGGACTTCAATGGTGGCCAGCAGGTTGAAGGTCCAGATTGCAGTTTCAGTGCAGCTTCAAATGGCTCTACACGATCCCAGCCGAGGAATAGGGGTCTTATCTAGTGAAACGATTGGTCATTTTCTAAAAAAAATATATACTTTTTAACCACAAATGCACGTCTTGCACTAGCTCTGTGATGAGTGTCTGCAAATTCAAGCATGACGTAATCACGTTGGAAAGGTCACGTACGGTTAGCTCTTCATCTGTGTACTCCGGATCAAAGAGGTAGGGTAGGGTAAAAAACTCCATCTCATTTTCTCCTCCAACTTCAAAATCATCCGACATCGTTGTTTTACCTTGTTTTGTAAATGGCGTTTGACTTTCTTTGCATGTTCGCTTTATAAACACTGGGTTGGTACTTCCGCCTACATCATGTGTGACCTTTCCAACGTGACTACGTAATGCGTGAAGTCGAGCTAGTGCAAGACGATCATTTGTGATTAAAAAAAGTATATATATGTTATTACATAATTTATAATGTTATATAATTTTTTAAAGAAATAATTTTTTTCCGTTTCGCTAGATAATAGGGGTGTCGAAATTAATCGTTTCTACGATGCATCGCGATGCAGACGAGGACGATTCGGTATCGGTTCAGTAATAGACCATAACCGATTATAACGTACTGACGCTTTTCTGATGAAATTTGTCTCGCACGTGCTTTGTCACGGTAGCATACAATGGCAGAGGGAGGCGAGACGCGAGTGCGAGTAATTAAAAATGCTCCAACTACTTTAAAAGCCGACATCTGGGCACATTTTGGCTTTTATGAACAACCTGGTAAGCAGTGCATCGTCGATGCATCGTGATATCGAATTCAACTGAATCGATGACATGATAATCGTAATCTTACCGAACTGTGAGACTGTGTAGGTTCACACCCCTACTAGATAAGACCCTTATTTCTCGGCTGGGATTGTGTAGAGCCCTTTGAAGCTGCACTGAAACTGCAATCTAGACCTTCTACCATTTGGCCACCATTGAAGTCCATTGTATGGAGAAAAATCCTGGAATGTTTTCCTCAAAAACCTTAATTTCTTTGCGACTGAAGAAAGACAGACATCTTGGATGACATGGGGGTGAGCAAATTATCAGGAAATATTTATACTGGAAGTGAACTAATCCTTTAAAGGGGTCATATGATGAGATTTCAAGTTTTCCTTTCTCTTTGGAGTGTTACAAGCTGATTGTGCATACATACTGAAGTTGCAAAGACTAAAGTCTCAAAACCAAAGAGTTATTCTTTATCAAAGTTAAGACTGCCACGCCCCCCTAAAACGGCTGGTTCTAACACGCCCCCACATATCTACCTCACTATGTGGGAATATTTGCATAATGCACCCAAATGTGCACGCAAAGAAAGGTGGCGTGGTTTCAGTAACCGCAGTTAGTGTTGATGCAGCCATGTCAGGGAGACGCTGTGTGTTTCTAGGCGAAAGCAAAAGCACTTTATTTGGCCTTCCGAAAGTAGATGCATTTAGGAATCCATTTGTGATTAAAAAAAGTATATATATGTTATTATATAATTTATAATGTTATATAATTTTTTAAAGAAATAATTTTTTTCCGTTTCGCTAGATAATAGGGGTGTCGAAATTAATCGTTTCTACGATGCATCGCGATGCAGACGAGGACGATTCGGTATCGGTTCAGTAATAGACCATAACCGATTATAACGTACTGACGCTTTTCTGATGAAATTTGTCTCGCACGTGCTTTGTCACGGTAGCATACAATGGCAGAGGGAGGCGAGACGCGAGTGCGAGTAATTAAAAATGCTCCAACTACTTTAAAAGCCGACATCTGGGCACATTTTGGCTTTTATGAACAACCTGGTAAGCAGTGCATCGTCGATGCATCGTGATATCGAATTCAACTGAATCGATGACATGATAATCGTAATCTTACCGAACTGTGAGACTGTGTAGGTTCACACCCCTACTAGATAAGACCCTTATTTCTCGGCTGGGATTGTGTAGAGCCCTTTGAAGCTGCACTGAAACTGCAATCTAGACCTTCTACCATTTGGCCACCATTGAAGTCCATTGTATGGAGAAAAATCCTGGAATGTTTTCCTCAAAAACCTTAATTTCTTTGCGACTGAAGAAAGACAGACATCTTGGATGACATGGGGGTGAGCAAATTATCAGGAAATATTTATACTGGAAGTGAACTAATCCTTTAAAGGGGTCATATGATGAGATTTCAAGTTTTCCTTTCTCTTTGAGTTTGGTCATACCGCCGACCCCTACAGTTTTCCTATTTGAAAGTATTTATGAAATTTGGCTTAAACCTATGCTCATTTTTGATGATAACCCAGACTCAGTCAACATTGGTTTACTGAGGCCCAGGGCCCTTCATGACTGTATATGTACTGTATCACTATTGTGTTTTCATGTGTGCAGAATGTAGAAATCCCCATGCGTATGCGTAAGCATATTTCTGATTATTCATATATTCTCCACCCCCACCATTAACTGGTGTTTTACAGCAGAGAAATGAGATTACTAGGCCACTGTTACATAACCAGTGATGTGTTCTCCAAATATAGACTAGTTTCTCATCCCCGTTGGCTCAGGCAGATCAACATAAGTCATTTAAGGGCATCGCCCGTCCCATGGACTGATCTCTTACGCAGTGTTGTCTTGTACTGCTCAGATGAATGTAGCTGGAGTGAAGCTTCCGAGTCTGACCCACATTCCTCTACCGTGGCGTGAATCAGTGATTCTGCTGAAAGGGCTGGCTGATGCTCAGACGCTGGTTTAAGAGTTTACTGTAGCTTTCTGTCAGGGTGCAATGTTCAGCCGGCTGATCCACCAGCTCCTAAATAAATGATGATGCTGGGTTGTGACGGAGAGATTGCACTTTCACTTCCAGTAATTTGGTGCTTGCCGCCATATTCAGCAGTCTGGGGAGTCTGCAGACACGGTGTTGTGATGGTTAACCAAAACTGTTCAAAATCATTTTCAGTAATTGACAAAGCTGAAATAAAAAAAAATATTAGAAATGTTGCCTTGACAACTAATTAAGATGAAGACAGTTGAAAGTACTAAAATTACTAAAACTGAAATAAATTCAAGCTAAATAGACATAAAAAAAAAAAACACATAACCAAATTACTAAAATGTAAACTAAAATTAAAGTGAATTATCTCAGATGTTAAATGATTAATAACTATTATAATATCAATTCGTAATAAATGCTTAAATAACACTTTGCATTATTGGCTTTTTGTAATTGATAAATTACATTAGTTTTGGATGGGCCCGACACAATTATTAATCCAGATTACCAATCATGGTTCACTTTAAATACATACTGTCATGCACATACGGAATTTTAAGCAAATAAAAAATAGCTGTAATATAAATTATTTCTGAAGAATCATTTGACACTCAAGACTGGAGTAATGACTGCTGAAAATTCAGCTTTGCATCACAGATTTAAATTCTATGTGAAAATATATTAAAATAGAAAACTGTTATATTAAATTGTATTCATATTTCACAGTATTACTCATCTGCTGTATGTTTAAATGAATGCAGCCATTAGACATGACTTTCAAAACAAAACAAAAATAATAGAAACTTTTAAACAAGTGTAAATACTCAAAACATATTTTAATATGAATGCTATGTATGATTTTGATATGTTCAAATATGAATAATATAATTTTACCCCTGTGCAATTAGTTTATAAAGTCTTAAAGGAATCATAATTATTGAATCATTATTGACTGATTCCAAGTTCATTATGAATAAATGATGATTTTATAATGTGTGTGTGTATTAAGATTATGCTGTAATGGACAGAAGCAAAACAATTAGAATGTTAACTTGTGTGACAAATAATCTTAAAACAAAGTTTCACAATCGTGACAGTCCTACTCCCAGCTGGTGCTTTAGATTCTCTCTCTCTCTGTCTTGTAGGACTATGTTGGAGAAACCCCCCTTCACAAAGCGGCCCGTGCTGGCAGCATTGACTGCATTAACACGCTCCTGGTCCAGGGAGCCAAGGCAGAGTAAGTCTTCTCTAACTGCTGCTCACTCTAACTGTATCTCTCTCTGTCCCTTGCATCCATTCAAATGCCCCACTGGTGCTTCATTTAAGAGGGGCTCCATCAAAACAGAAACATTGATTCTCTTGATTGTAAGGCTTTATATTTCATTTCTTCCACTGCAAGACAATACGGGAGCAAGACACTATTTTAGTGAGACCGTATTGAACCGTATTGATTTCCCTACCCTTCTCTTGACAAATGAACCCTATTGTCCTGAGTGTTAGAAATCTTGACTGGTTTTCAATCTCACATTTTTACTTGATTTTAAAGCCTGCATGCATGAGTTACAATTGAATGTCAACTATAATGTTTATTATCTCTTTATTATGCTTTTACTTAATACATTAAAGATTTAAGCCACGAAAGTGAGGCTGTTACAGTTTGTACCTACAATTTTAAGGGGTGTTGTTAAGCATGACATGGAAAATGTTGAATAAATGGATATGTGCGTATCAAATTCATTATTATATTATATTATCAGAACAATCTATTAAGTCAATGTTTTAGCTGATTTTTTCTTTCTTTAGATTTTAAGATTTATTGAAAAATGTCAGCTTATAAAAAGTTCTGGATCAATATAGGCATGTTTACTGTTAGTATATTAATGTATTTAGATGAAGATTATTATTATTAAAAAAAAAATTTCATTTAAGTCGGTTCGTTTTGACAGGGCAAAACAATTTGTAAACATTAATGAATTATGTATCATGAACTAACAATGAACAGCATTTTTGCCACATTTATTAATTTAATGTTAATCTATAATTATTTTGTTCAATGTTTTGTCAACGATGCATTATGAATAATTATACAGTTTGAAATGTTAATTTAGTACATTTTAGTATATGTAAACATGAACATTAACCAAGATTAATAAATGCTGTTCTTGTATTGTTCACTATTAGATCATGATACCGAATGCATTAAGTGATATATTAACTAATATCAGTGTTGAACTTATACACAGCTAAAAATGTGATTTTGAAAAGTGACCTAATACTCAATCCATTTTTAAATGTATTTTGATGGAGCTCTTCTGAAATCTGTGACCAGATTTGGTCTTATTGCCTAAATGTGAAATGTATTCTGAATTCAGTAATTTGATGATCTCTATCATGTCTTCCCTGTGAGGTGCAGAGGTAATATCCTTTTTGTTTCCTTCACTTTTTGATTTGAAATGTGTTGCCATTACAAGGTTGCAAACTGTTGCACATTTCCTCACAGCTCAAAAGCAAACAACAACTATTGCTATTTTACATTGTTGCCAAGGTTTTCTTTTCCTTGTTGAGAGATAAGATGAAATGAAGTGTGTGAGACCCCTTGGTGTCAAGGGGGATTTGAGCTCCATTCAAAATGTCTCTGCAGTGTCATTATATCCCTTGTAATAACATTTTTATTGCTTTTTTTTTCTTTTCTCAGTTCTTTCTAGTAATCTAATAAAAAAGTGGTCAAAACACGGTATTCTGTTTGAAGTTGAACAAAAAATAATGCATCTGATTTGATTCTGATTCGCAAGCTCTCGATTCGATTTGATTCCTGATTCTATTCTCCATTTTTTTTTTTATTAAACTCAATGAATATAGTTTTAATACAAATGGTATTGATATTAAAAAAAAAAAAAAAAAAAAACACTTTCTGAACACCGTTTACTACATGCCTTCTATCATCTGATTGATTGTTTATTTTTTTTTGCCAGTAATTTTTCCTTGTTGAGAGATAAGATGAAATGAAGTGTGTGAGACCCCTTGGTGTCAAGGGGGATTTGAGCTCCATTCAAAATGTCTCTGCAGTGTCATTATATCCCTTGTAATAACATTTTTATTGCTTTTTTTCTTTTCTCAGTTCTTTCTAGTAATCTAATAAAAAAAGTGGTCAAAACACGGTATTCTGTTTGAAGTTGAACAAAAAATAATGCAAGAGCACACATGAACAGCTCTGTTTGATTGTGAAATTTTGCAAACATAAAAACTAGGGAAATAGTAGCCACATATCTATAAATATATAGTGTTCATCAAATGCCAGGGGTGTCCAGTCCTGCTCCTAAAGGGCCACTTTCCTGTAACGTTTAGTTTCAGCCTGCCAGAACACACCTGACTGAAAGTTTGTAGCTAATCTTATATAGGGCTGGGTATTGATGTAGATGTCCTGATTTGATTCTGATTCGCAAGCTCTCGATTCGATTTGATTCCTGATTCTATTCTCCATTTTTTTTTTTATTAAACTCAATGAATATAGTTTTAATACAAATGGTATTGATATTAAAAAAAAAAAAAAAAAAGAAGAACATCAGTTTACAAATGGTGTATTAATAAAAAGAAATGAAGAGCCACAGACCTGTATTTTAAACTTTTTCTTTTCTTTTCTTTTTTAAACAATAATAGTTGCCTATAAATAGTTTTTCTTATTTTTTTCTGTTAACCAAATGAGGGCTTAAAACATTCATTTAATTTATCCTTTAATCAAATGAAGATTAAACCCTTCATTTTTTGGCAAACAAAGTGCTGCACAACAGGTTTACTGTCAAAAAGAAAAAAATGTGTGATTATTCCTTTTAAAATAAAGCTTTATTATTATTATTATTTAGTAGTAGTTGTAGTATTAGATTGAGTCTTTCATTCTACTGCACAAAAGTAATATATGTTTGTCACAGTTTCTTCAAGTTAAACCAAACGTTTATTTTGACGGGTTGCTTGTGAAGAACTTGCAGCTGCTGTGTATGTGATATGATGGCAGTTTTAATCAAATTAAATGGTAAAATGCTCATGAAGTGACTCTCAGAGTAGCTCTGGAGATGATGTCCGTGTGTTCATATTGTTGTAATAGTGAGACGGCAGGGACTGAAAATATCGTTTGCTATTTGACATACTGTTCTCCAACAACTTGTGCATGATTTAGATTCAGGTTGGTATACACAGAATTTATTATAAAACATGATATTGACTTTGCAGAGGGATTGTGAAGGAAGCTCTTGCATTATTAATGTTGATTATTTTGCCTACAGATCTCCAGGATGTTGCAACAAGGTATAACTATACAAGTATAAGCTTGTGTATGTTTTGAGTTGACAGCACACACATACTGTGGCGCAGGAGCGTTCTTGTTGCTCATTCTGGAGAAATGACTCTTGCCATTTCATATCTCTTGACAATGAGAAATGCCACTTGGGAATTCATTGAGGCAATACTTTAATGATGATGGAGGACATCCTGAATAACTGGAAGGGATCTGATGTTCCACAGAGACACATACATGAAACCAACACTTTCATTAGTGACTACAATGCTATTAAATATATTTTGGCTCAATTTGTGTAATTTAAAATGAAATTTTAAACTTGGATTATAGGATCATGAAATATGCAAGTCTAAAATCTATCGTACTTAAATGTGGTTAGTAATTTGTGTGTTTTTTCATGCATTTTAAATGTGTTTTCTATGCTCAGCCATCAGTTGACTGAGGTCAAACAAAGTCCTACTTTGGAAAGCAGAGGTCTGATGTGTTTTGTGGAACAGCAGGTACAGTAATGGGCTTGCTAGTGTTTCTTGCAGGCTTTTGGTCTGAAGAACACAAGCCTGCAGAACGCACTACAACTGCAAATTCAGCCTGCAGATGATGTTCTCCTCTTTTGAATGCCATATGGTTATGGTCAGCACAACATACATTAATATCATTTGTAACATTACGTTAATGCCATTAATTAAAACTGGTGACACTTTACAATAAACCTTTAAGTTGTTAACATTAGTTGCATTTTGTGTCATGATCCAAAAATACGTATTATATTAATGATTTAATAATCTGTGTTAATGATAATTTATACAATTAGTATTGTTCTTTTGTGTCCTTAATACATAAATATGAATGTACACAACTTTAAAATGATAAAAATTGTGTTTGTATATTAATTATCATTCACATAGATTAGTAAATGCTGTTCTTGCATTGTTCATTTCAGGATGCCTAATGCATTAACTAATGTTAACAAATTGAATCTTATTATAAAGTTGTGCAATAAAACTATTAAGATAATTGCTACATTGTGTGAAAAAAGAACAATTACAGTTATGTGCAAACTTTACAGTATACAAATGACTAGAAGGCTGCGTTCTGTTATTGTCATTTGGTAGTTATTTAACAGTTCACTAAAAATACAAAGCAGTAAAAAATACTGGGAAAAACAATATTGGGAAAAAAATGCAACGTAAACCCACTTCTTCAGTTCAAGGCTAGCACAGATTTCGTCACTTGATGTTATTCTGAGTATAATATTTTCATTGCGAATTGACAACACAATTCAAAATTTTACTTATGTATATGATATGTAAGAGAATCTTTTTAGCATTTTAGCTAGTCTTTAGATTGAATAGTTTATGACCTTGTGTTAAGGAAAAAGAGAGAACCCCTCACACACCTGAAGTGTTTCAAACAGTTGTCCAGGAAGACACACAGGCACAAAAAAATAAAAATCTCAATCTTAAACAGCTAATTCAACCACTGTTGCATTCAATCACCTATACGTCCCAGTGGTACTATACCTACCTACTGTCTAAAGTATATATACCTATAAAGGTATATTTCACTTGATAAACTTTTATTTTCAAAAACAAATCTGTGATAGAAGTATAAATCTTATGAATGACAGACGTTGTATTGCTTTATCCATGAGTAACATGTGGCATTCAAAATTACAAAGGAGAAACATTTTGGTCTTGGGGATCTATGGGTTGTTTTTAAATGTTCAATTTCTGTTAGTGCATGTTGTCTTTATTGCCCTATTGGAAATGCTTTTGAGATAGTGATGAAATGTGTATTTAGCAACCAGACAAATAGGAGTGTTGATGTTTGTTTTTATGGGAGTATGAACAATGTTTCAAAAGTCTTACAGTGGTAGTGGCACTGAAGTCCCAGTCAGTATTAAAGCTGATGACAGCTATAGTGTGTCAAAAAGGCATTTATAATAT